GGCCACTGCACTCCAGCCTGGGCGACAGAGCAAGACTCCAACTCCAAAACAAAACAAAACAAAATCCTTGTACACTCGTGGCTCCTCTGCTGCTTGGAGAACCCAGTGCCTCTCATTGGTCCCTCCCTCCTCCTCTCCTGTTTCCCTGGAACAACCTGTGGCTGCAGCGTGTCCAGCCTGCCTCTCTTCTGTGTGGCACGCTCACTCTCTCTTCCTGATGGCTCACGGAGCTTCTGAGAGCCTGCACCCTTCCCCCACTCCCACTCTTCTCACCTCCACCATGTTCCAAACAATCCCCCCTGAGGTGTGTTCCACCCACGGCCCTCAGCATCTATTGCCTGGAATCACTGGCTATTTCTCACTAAACTCACAAAGCTCACGTGGAGGCTGTTGCAAGTCCTTCCCATCTGTCTTGGTACTAAGTCACAGGCCTTCAACCTTGTGTCCGGCACAGATGACAGGACTAGGTTCTCTCGTGTCCCCTGCTACCCCCCTTCCCTCAGTCTGCAACTGTGGGGGGAATGGGGTGTGGCACTCACCCGGAGGCCTTGGGGGTTCAGCACCTTGGGGTTGCGGGAGAAGTACATGTGCAGGGTGCCGTCGTCGCTGACGGTCACAGACACTTTCTTCAGGGTCTTGTTCCCACAATGAGAACAGAACACTCGGCTCATGTCAGATGTTGTTCTGGGAGACACAAAAGGAGATGCTGTGTATATACTGTGACCGCAGGCAGCAAGCCCCTCCCCAGGGCACGAGGTGAGTCGCATGCCTCAGAGAGGGAAGCATGGGAAATCGAGAGGCTGAACCGTGTCACACACGTCAAAGACAAAGGTTGCCGGGCATCCTGCTGAAGGGGTCGCCACATGGCTGCTGCCTTCCTCTGAGGGAAAAGGAAAAGGACACCAGGGACACATGAGGAGTGGGAACAGGAAGATGCTGTTATGTTCATAACGAGCTCCTACTGAACACTGTCAGGCTTTGCTCCCAAAGGCTGGTATCCTATGAGGTTGGTACTGTCTTCATTTTACAGATGGAGAAACCAAGGCAAGATAAGGTAGTTTGCTCAAGGTAACACAACTAGTACACAGCAGATAAACCTGGGCAGCCTGGCTCCAGATCAGTGCTCCTAGTGTCATTGTACTTTCTCAAGAGGCACATTATTATAGCTCTAACTACCTTGTCCCCAAATGTCAGCCTGAGCATTAATTAACCCAGAAGGTGGCCCCGGTGGTGGCAAGAATTTACTGAGTTACATGGCAACACCATAAAGCCTGCTGTGGTTGAACTGTGTGTGGGTGCTAAGGGCAGATTCCCAGGCCTTGCCCTCTCCTGCCCACTGGAGACTGCTGGTGAACCTTGGACAGGAAAAAGCTCCAACTGTCAAGGGCCAAGCAGTAGCCCTGGCCTTGACCTTAGGGGTTCTCCATCAGTTTCTAATGGTCAGGTGACAAGAGCTGTGGGGAGTGGATGGAGAAGCCAAACCCCCATCTGCAAGTCCCTTGCCAGTAAACTCAGTGTTCCGAACAGATGCTAGGAACTAACCATTCTGTAAAAGAAACAGGCTAATCCCATAAGAATGAAGAATATTTCCAAGCATTTCTAAGAACGAGTACTAATTTGTGGGAACTGAGGGGCCTTTGGAACAATGGACAATGGGGAAAATGGAATCTTATGAAGCTAGGAGCTTTATTGTCAGGAGCCTGAGCAGAAAAAGTAAATTAAGATTCAGAAAGGAGCCGGGCTCGGTGGCTCAGCCTGTAATCCCGTGCCTTTGGGAGGCTGAGGTGAGTGGATTGCCTGAGCCCGCGGGTTCGAGACCCGCCTGGGCAACTTGGCGAGACCTCACCTCTACAATAAGTCAAA